GAGGTGAATGTGTGTTAAATCGTTCTGTTGGAGATACGGTTGTGTGTTAAATCGTTCCGTTATCGTAGTTATTTGATTTATGTTGACTTGTTCTTTGTTATTTTTCTCAGCATTATTTACCGCAATGCACGGTGTGCTCGGGCATCCAGTCGAGAGTATTATATTATAATGCACATCAACCTTTGTGGTAAGAAGAGGGGGAGGGAGGGATGATGACAGTTTAATGGAGTTTCGCGTAAAACGGGTGAAAAACTAATATTAAGGAGCGTATTTTTCCCTTGGCAAAATCAAAAAATATGTGTTTCTCGTTAACGAATAAGAGTTTTGAGCTGAAACTTCAACAGGATATGGTTGTTAGCATGATGCATCACATGCTGAGTCGAAACGGTCATGTTCGGAACGGTTACTGATATATCACGGCGAGCGGAATAATGACCCCCCAATACACAATTTTCCCGTGAAATATGTTTTTCATATCACTAAGGAGCGTATTTTTTCCCTTGGTAAAATAAAAAAATATGTGTTTCTCGTTAATGAATAAGAGTTTCGAGCTGAAACTTCAACATGATATGGTTGTTAGCATGGTACATCACATGGTGAGTCGAAACGGTCAAAGTAATTACAGTTGTAATATACAAAATTTGTGAGTATTGCCGAGAAAAAATACGCTCCTCATCCGCACAAAGTGTTGTTGTTGTTATCAAGAATGACTCTATTTTTATGATGCAGATAGTTTGCATAGTTCTGGGTTGTGTGCATATCTCGCTCGCCCGGATATATATGAGTAGCAATAAGGAATATGACCATTTCACTTTAGGATGTGATAGATGATTATTATATCTAAGCCGTGTTGAAGTTGCAGTTAGAAACACTACTTAGTTGAGACGAGAAATAATAAATTTTACGAATTTTCCTCAGAAAAAAAATTGATATTACATTGGAGATGTGAAACACTTTTCAGTTAACAAGAAAAAAATTTTGAAATTTTCCCGAGAAAAAAATACATTTTTTAGGTATCGATCGTTGATGATACACGATGGTATTGTAATGCACTTGGGAAGAGTTCGCAGGTAGACATGTGGAAAAAAATGATTTTTTGGTGAAAAAAAAATTATGTTTTTAGTTACGATTTTACTGGTCTTATTCTGGGAGTGTTATTGTGGCAGTTTTACGAGCATTCGGATGAAGAAAAGAAATGGGAAAAGGACTAAACCTTTGTTGTTGTTGTTGCTATTAGTATGGATAGTAGATTTAACTGTGCGTAGTGAAAGTGATGACCATTGCGAAAAAGTGTGCTGTTTTTAGTTTATAAATTTGTCGGGCGATTTTATTTCATGTATCGTATGAATGTTGCAAAAGGGTTTGAGGTTTATCGGAGTTTCACCACCCTAGT